CCGTTATAAACTTACTATGGGGGACCTGCGGGGTTTGGGAGAGACCTTGTTCCCCCAAGTGGCTCCCGGAGTAACAAGGAATAATGGCCATAAGTTGCTAGAGAGTAGGTTTAGACTAGACATTAGAAGGTGCTACTTCACAGTCAGGGCAGCTAGGATCTTGAACCAACTTCCAAGGGAAGTGGTGATGGTTCCTACCCTGGGGATCTTTAAGAGGGGGCTCAGCGTTTACCTGGCTGGGGTCATTTGAGCCGAGTTTTCTCTCCTGCCCAGGGCAGGGGGTTGGACTAGAAGATCTACAAGGTCCCTTCCGACCCTGCTTCTATGAATCTAAGTACATCAGGGAGAAGAAAACAAAACACTTTGTTCCATGTAAGTCCGTTGAGGCCTGCAGTCTTGAGTCTCTACTCAGGTGAACCAGGAGCCAAACAGCTTCCACCTTCCCCAACCCTGCAACAAAGGCCCGGGGGCTCCATCCAAACTAGTCACTCACCGATATGAAGATGATGTCAGCCTCTCTCACAGCTTTGTCAATATCAGAGGAAAAGAAGAGGTTGACCCCCTGACAGGCTTCCACCACCTCCTGCAGGCCAGGCTGTGGGGACAGAGGGTGCTGGGGACTTGTACAGCGCTAATCACACCCACCTCCCAGGGAAACTGGTGAATAGAGGGGACTGGGGAAAAGAGGCTTTTTACACTGGGCACTAAACCCTTCAGCAGCTTCCAGGGAACCTTGATAAGGTGTTATAGCCCTGCTGCAGGGAAGCCCAACAGCCCCATTTGTCACCTCTAAATACCACCCAACACAAGGGACATTCCCATTAAGGACAGTGGTTAGACAGAGCAACACTAACCAGGAAAGATTCTGAACCTAGACTGCAAGTGAGCTTATTATGGACAATACATGCACACAGTCGCAGCATTACAGCTTCCTTTCAACCATGGGCACTGATTGCAGCTGGAAAGAGAACACTGGCCCCAGCCAGTTGCATCATTTGGGCAAGCCCAGGTTACTGGTATATTAAAGAAAAGCAGCTGCTGTGAGAGACTGTCACTGACCAGCTCTCATTGCTTTTGAGTGCCAAGTTAGTAAGTTCATGCAAAAGGCCACAGGGCCTTCCCCAAACACAGATCAGCCTCCCCAGGACTTGCAACTGCCTGGTCATAGTAGTAAGGATGAAAGGAACCTGACCATCCCAGCATGGGGTAGGGAACCGTTGCCTGCACAAACACTGAGCTGTAGACAACTTGTGAGCCCTGAGAAAGCTACCTCCCCTATGCCCTGCTAAAACACAGCTCCCTTCTGTGCTGTACCTCAAAGATGGGCAGCTGATCGGAGTTCCATGCCCGGATCCGCTCCTCGTTTACGTCCACCACTGTGACAGCAATTTCCGGACACATCTGCGCAATGACACTGCATGTTGGGCCCCCAACATAGCCAGCACCGATGCAGCATATGCACTTCACATGCACCATTATCACAACACAGCTGGTCTAGGTCCTACACGAGAAGAACTAAATTCAGCTGCCGCAGCTTGGAGACAGTCATTTCACTGCTCCCTTTCCCTCCCCTCCCCCTCCCACCCAAGCTGGTATGGAAAATGGCCATGGCACTGAAAGCGAGCATTTCTGAAAGGCCTTTGTGTATGACAAAAAGGCTCTGTTAAACCCTGGCTGGGGCCAAAGCAGGTTCCAACATGTCTCCTTCTCCTGACCTGGAAGGCAGACAGCCAGGGGTTTGGAGCCCTGCTTTAGCCCACAAATTGATCAGGGATTAAAACATCTGGACTCAAAGGAGGCAGAAAGTTTCTAAGGTGCTCTGCCCCCCCCTTTTTTTTTGGATGAAAAGGTGGGCCAAGCATAAACATCCACTTACTAAGCTCCCTGTGTGCAGAGTAGGAAGATCAACCATGCATTGGCTGTGACAAACCTGAAGCCCCCTGTGCTCCACATGCTGGAGCCACACAGGAGTTAAGATCCCAACTCAGTCAGAGCCAGGCCCTGCTAATTTTGTAAATACATCTGACCTCCCATGACAAGGGTGGGTAATATTGACTGCTTATCCAGTTCACAGACAAGGCTGAACTGGATTTAACACATTAATGAGACCTGCATTGGACCATACAACCAGGTTCCTCAGTCCTTTCAAACCATGCTCTGCACCCACATGCTTTGACCTGAACCAGGCTGCTGAGGATGATTCTGGAAAGGCAGTCACTGATTCCTAGGAGACATTTATTTAATTGCAACCATGCAGCGTGCCACCTAGCACAGCCAGTGTTATTGCTAGCATTACAGCTGGGTAGATGCATGAAAGGATTCCTGGCCAGCAGCAACTGAGCCACTTGAATCAAAGCCTGGTCAGCTTTGCAGTGGAGACAACTGCTGTACAGGCACAGCCAGAGCTTGAAGCCTGGTCGAGCTCTAGCCTGGTCACCCTCACCTCAAGGGGAAAAGACCCTTTCTGAGCACTGTGCCTAGAACCGCATCACAATGTTCCTGGCGAACCTGCAGCACCGCTTTCAGGCACGAGGTGCTGGGGGCGCAGTCTGCAAAGCCACTATGGGACTCGGGGCCACATGTGAAAGCACTGGTTTTGCTTAGTTTGGTTTCAGCTATGGTGGGATGGGGGCTCTGGAGGAAGTTGACAGTCCTCCCATCAAGCCTGGTAACTGCACCAGTTTCATCCGGGCCCTGAGGTGCTAGGGCTACTGAGGGCAGGCAGGACCGAAAGGCAGAGATTAAGACAGACCTGCTGCCCCAGCGATGTGGGG